GTGCTGGGAATGTACGTGGTACAGAGACTAGGGTAGCTTTGAGTGCTGGGAATGTACCTGGTACAGAGATCAGGGTAGCTTTGAGTGCTGGGAATGTACGTGGTACAGAGATTGGGGTATCTTTGAGTGCTGGGAATGTACGTGGTACAGAGATTAGGGTAGCTTTGAGTGCTGGGAATGTACGTGGTACAGAGATTAGGGTAGCTTTGAGTGCTGGGAATGCACGTGGTACAGAGATTAGGGTAGCTTTGAGTGCTGGGAATGTACGTGGTAAATAGACTAGGGTAGCTTTGAGTGCTGGGAATGTACCTAGTACAGAGATTAGGGTAGCTTTGAGTGCTGGGAATGTACGTGGTACAGAGATTGGGGTAGCTTTGAGTGCTGGGAATGTACGTGGTACAGAGATTGGGGTATCTTTGAGTGCTGGGAATGTACGTGGTACAGAGATTAGGGTAGCTTTGAGTGTATAAACAGAAAAAACGGAAAAACAACATAACTTACTGCTAGATCATCCGATTTTAAAATTCAAACATGAATAAACTTGTCATAACGATGGAATTCTTTTTAGATGCGTCGCGCAAGTAAATTTACTCTAATTCTTGTAAAATACCGCATAGCAACCGAGAAATAAAATGGCCCGCCCTTGATTACGAGGACAGTGAACGCGAGCGTCGGAAATGATCATAGGATTCAAAGGACGTTTAAACAGACAAGATAGGAGGATTAACTCGACTAGCAACAAAGGAAATTTAATAGGCTTAAACCAGTTGTGACTCCTTCTGTTTATACCTCCATGGTGGTACAGAGTGCTGGGAACCAAAGTCACTCTAGTAGAGTGACTGTATGGGAACGTACGTGGTACAGAGATTAGGTGACACCCCTATTCTTACAACGAATTGCTAAATAGCACTTCTTCCGATTCGAACGGTTTCGCTAAAGCCAGTGCTGGTGAAGGTGCATGGGGTGATAAGAACTATATATGTTGCCCCTGTCTTCAGTGCGACGAGTTTCAGCTATTATCCTAGTTTTACTACATTCTTTTTTATTCCAGTGCTATGAAGAGAAGTTTAATTTTAAATATGAAATATAAATATAAGCCAAGTCATTAGCATATGGATTTCTCTGGATGTACATTTCACTAAATACACGAAATTCGAATATTAATCATATATCTTGGCTGATATTGTTTCCTATCATTCTCATTCTGTGATTCAGTATTAAAATATAGATATGCATATTTTGCACAGTGACGTACTTCTCATACATTTGAAAACTGGGTGGAAGGGGTGTTGGGTTGGAGGATTTTGTGATGAATAAAATAATTGGGGACAATGTGTCGTCAAGTATACGTGTAAACAGTTTCAACATTTGGAATTTTTTATTAACCCTCTTATTAAAGCATTTTCGTTTCCATGGCAAATTGGCAATCGTTATTAATGTACGGAAAATCTCATAACGGACATTTTTTGTTCTCAGGAAATTCCGCTCATCAGTTCAGTTCGCTGCACTGTCGTATTTCCGATTTTAAAATATGAAGTAATGCAGACGTGAAAACGTGAATGATTTATAGCTTATAGCAGTAGTTATATCTTCGCGTTTTACATTACATTCACAGGGTTCAGAGGTGTTTTTAAAGAACACTTAATTCACTTACTGACCTTTGACCTCAATATGAAAATTTGGTGAAATAACCGGAGGTGACAATTTTTTGACGTACGAATCCAGGTTTTTTTTAGTTCTAAGTAAAATGAATCACCAATTTCAAGGCTGCTATATAAGTATAAAAGCAATATGTTGTCTTAATGTACAGACTATTTTGTTCTAAGCTGTAGGCTAACATTTTAGTTATTAAATAGATTTTCCAACTTTTCCATTTTTTTAAAAAAAGTGTTCCTGCTATTTTATATATTAGAGAAA